ACACACACACACAGAAACACACACAGACACACAGAAACACACACACACAGAAACACACACACACACACATAAACACAGAAACACACACAGACACACACAGACCTGCGAGCGCGGCGGAGGACACGAGCTCGGCCTGACTACAGCGAGGGTTGACGATGTGCTCCTGGATCAGGTAGCGAGCGATCTCCACCACCGTGTCGAACGAGCGCTTCAGGATCTTTTGCGCCCAGTCACAAATCAGCTCGCACGCCGCCTCTGTCACTTCCTGTTTGTAGGTCTGGACCAGCTCGGTGAGCTCCGCCTGGAGACGAAGAGGAACAAACAGTATTCATCACCAACAAATTGCAAATAAATATGACTGGTACTGCAGGACACAGGAGTACTGCACTGTGAGTACCGGGTCATTCTTCAGGTCGAGGTTGGGCAGCAGAGGCATGTTGAGGACCGTCTTCCTCCTGATGCCGCTGTAACAGTACGTTTCAGCGGGTTAAGGAAGGCTAAATGTTACTCCTGGCATTCCTGACCTGAGACTGGGTTCAGGTTTTCTGCACTTTTAATCTGAAAGGATATTTGGACTGTCCTCGGCCTCCGAGCCGTCTCGCTTTGATGTTGGGAAAAATGTCTCTGATGATCTTCCCAAAGTTGGCGGCGCTCAGAGGACGCTGCTGCAGGTTCTCACAGTACCTCCTGCAGGACAGACAGACGCACAGTCAGGAAAGCATCGGAGCGCCATGGCAACCAGATCTATGTCAAACCACCCTTGTTACAAGGTCACTGTGCGTGTGTGTGATTTCTGACTTGTAGGTCTCGTAGACGTCCTGTTTGGGCAGGCAGGTGTCTGAATGCTCCTCCAGGTGACTGCGGATCCAGTTACAGGTGTGAAGCTGGTCGGCCGTGTTAAATGAACTCGAATCGCTGCTGCTGAGAACACAAATTCAAGATTTACAGAGGTTCACCGTTTCTGACAGAAAAACAACGAATCACAAACTATCAGGATAAAAAACAAAGGAGCAAAACGGAGAAGCAACGTCACCTTTTGTCTCCAGAACTCGGTCCAGAGGGCAGCTGCAGGTACAGGTACAACTTGTCATTGTCAGAGAAACGCTGAACATCTTGCTGTTGAAAAAAACCCCACAGTGAATGAATCAGACCTGAGGTGAGCACCAAACCAGACTTTAACCTCACATCAAGTTTCTTACCAGGATCTGCTCTACTTTGGTCTGAACATGTTTCCTGTAAGAGGACAGAGGACATGCTGATCAGATCCATCACGAACACCACACAGGGACGTCAGAGCTTCAGAAATTCTAATCCCCATTTTCACACACAAACACTTCCTGCTTCATTGCCCTCACTCAGACTTACGAGATGTTGCTCTTCAGTTTCTGCAGCAGCATGCTGGGCTCAGTGTCACCCTCCCCTGTCTCCAGACCGCCCTGGCCCCGCCGGGAGGCCTCGGCCCGTTGGTGACACTGGTCCTCGGACATCAGGACCAACTAACCAATGCTGTGAAACACCATCTGAGAGAGACACACAGGAAAATGCACACTGTAAGGACAAAAGCAGCAACTGAAGCCAGCTTTGTGGATGCTGTCCGGTCTGGGGCCTGCCGTCTGCCTGCAGCGAGCTCTTTATTCATTTTTTTTTTTAAATCTTTTCAGGGTTTGTCTGCAGTTCTCTTCTCAACGAACTCTGCTGTGTGTATTCCGGCCCACTTGTCAACCAATCGAATTGTGTCATCCACGCTCACAATGTACAGTCAGGATCTTGGAAGACTGCACGCGCCCCCCCCCCACCAATAATGTACATGGACAGACACATTTAAAACCAGCCTGCCCACCTGCAGTTCCTCTGAAGTTCAGCAGAGGGGCCAGCATAGGGTCAGTCCCCACAGACTCCCATAGCTTTCCAGCAGAACTAACCATGTTTAATAAAATATGATGAGACACTAACTGTGTTCAGGAAACAGTTTAAGAACTAATTTGATCAGCTTTGGCCTAAAAATCAACAATTAGTTACTAGGACATCAGGCAGCTGTGGCTCTCAATGCAGTTCACAGTCCTGCTGCAGTCCAGTGTTGGGGTCCAGCGGGCCCTGAGGTATCATTGCAGCCCAGCTTTACTATACAGGCCTGCGGGGTCCAGAAACCCCAGAAACCGCCAAACACTTCCCTACTCGGACCCCTCTGGGGACTCAGGTTTCACGTCCCATCCATGCAGGCCCTCGATGCTGATCCAGCTAGAACGGTTTAATTTTACCGTCCAGGTTAAAAAATCTGGATGTAAACAGCTGCAAACAACCCACGTTCCGGGTCATAGCTCTGCGGCGGCTGCGCGGCTGGCAGCCCGACCGCGGGCGGTAACGGAGAGACCAACGCCGGCTGTGTTACGGCAATCCCCGGAGCGGGGGAGGAGCAGCACGGAGCCCGCTACCGTTATCAGGAGTCGCCGGTGTGGCCGCAGTGTTTACAGCGCCGGTGGTCATGTGCTGCCATTTACAGCGCGCGCGCGCACACACACACACACGAGCCCAGCTGAACATATTACTCCGAAGCTAGCGGGCTAATGCCGTCCTCCGCGTAGCTACCGGAGGCGGCCCAGACTCGGTGGCTGAGTTGTTCTGAACAGATGTTAGAACCGTTTCACGACTGTCACGCGTGCGTGAATCGGCTCCCGGTTAGGATGCCGGTGATGTTCCGGATAACAGACATATACGGGCTACCTGCATGCTAATCATCATAGGGTGGCTCACAAGCTAAGCTAGTAGCTAACTGATAAGCATTAGCTAGTAAGCGCTGAAACAGCCCGTTAAATCGTTTCAGCGCGATCTTTTTCATTTCCAAATAATTCTTGATAATGATACATAAATTCTGTTATTACTGTATGATCCAACAAGCGAAGCCCGCTTCACTATTTATTTTAAAAAAGAAAAAGAAAGTACCTGAGCCAAGATACAGCAAAATTCCCCTTTTCAGATTTTTTTGTGATTGGACGAGTTTGTTATGTCTGCCTGACTACAACCCCAGCGTCTATTCCCATTGGTCAGTTCTCAAAAATCTACCCAGACACCAAAAGCAGGTTTAATCCTATTCGTCGAGTAGAAATGTTTTTAGAACAGGAATTGATTTGATTGGACGCCTTTTCCTGGTCTGCCCAGTTACAAAATAGATGAATTCTTCTGTCGAATTCTGCATAGCAACAGCGAAAGCGAAACCAGCTAATACAAAACGTAAAATTGACATGCATGTAGAAGTGTTAGGAAGAAGCAGGGAGCTCAGGTTCTCCAGTCTGAAATGATCATTTAATATTAATAAACTGAATTCTCATTAACTACATAAAGGATATGGTTAAATATTATCTCAAATTTCTTAGGGTAAAAAATCTGTTTTTTTGCCTACAAACCCAAGAATTTTATTGTGGATAAAAGATTAATAAAAAAAAAAACACATTAGAATAAAGTCAACCATTCAAATGCCATGCTATGGTAAAACTATGTTGAACAGCTGATGCAAATCAGTGATTCTACTTTTACTGAGGACATATTTAGCTGTTTAATCTTCAAGAAATCAAGGAAAACAGCTCTCTTTATTTTGTCACATGAATTTTCCATCATACAAAAGAGAAAGTACACAGAGTAAACAGGAGCAGACAGGAAGAGAAAGGTTTGTTAGTGATGCTGAAACCTCTGCCTCTCGTCTTCATTCAAACGCACTGCAGAGAAACATGAACACAAATATTAGTCACATTTACAGATTGTTTGTTCACGCTGCTTACATATGACTGCTCACCCAACCATCCAGGCTGTCATGTTGTAAAGTTTGCAGACGACACAGCTGTGGTTGGTTGCTTCACAAACGATGAGACCGGCTACAGGAAGGAGGTGGAACACTTGGAGGAGTGGTGCAGGAAAAACAATCTCTGCTTAAATGACAAGAAGACGAAGGAGAAGATTGTGGACTTGAGGAGGGGAAGACACACACACACACACGTTGGAGGATCTGCAGTCTAAGTAGTACCCAGCTACAATTACCTGGGTACGTACCTAGATAGCAACCTTACCTGGAAAAACACTTCCAGCCTGATCAGGAAGGCTCACCAGAGGCTCTACTTCCTGAGGCAGATGAGATGCGTGGGAATGGAGAGCTCAGTCCTCATCTCCTTTTACAGATGTGCGGTGGAGAGTGTTCTGTGCTCTGGCATCAATGTGTGGCACAGAAACTGCACTGAGGCAGAGAGGGTGGTGAAGGAGGCAGTCTCCCAACCGTCACAGACATATACACCTCCAGATGCAAGACGAGGGCCACCTGTACAGTGAAGGACCCCACTCACCCAGCACACTCACTTCTTGTCCCGCTCCCCTCAAGCAGGAGGCTGAGGAGCATTAAATGCAAAACCACCAGACTGAGAAACAGCTTCATTCCAGAAGCTGTGAGACTTTCTCAATACATAAATGGACAAGAACTGATATTGTAGTACCTTAACCACTACTGACACCGTCACTTTATCAGTGCTGGACATCATGGTCGTTTGCTGCTGTATCTATACTCCATACTGGTACTCAGGTTTTTGCACTCTATATATTTGTTATTCTGTTTCTTTCGCTCCGGGACCGTGTGCACATCATCTCATTCCACCTCATGTAAACATGTGATGCGAATGACAATAAAGAATCCTTGAATTCTGTTCATCTGGACGTAGCGTTTTCAGTGGGAGAAACGTTTCGTCATCATCCAGGTGACTTCTTCGGTCTCAGCTGACTGCAGGTTTCCCCAACCTTATAAACAGTACATTTGCATAATATTGGGGAAACCTGCAGTCAGCTCAGACTAGCTAGCAAGCGCTGAAACAGCCCGTTAAATCGTTTCAGCGCTCTCTCATTTCCAAATAATTCTTGATAATGATACATAAACCCAGCATCTATTCCCATTGGTCAGTTCTCAAAAATCTACCCAGACACCAAAAGCAGGTTTAATCCTATTCGTCGAGTAGAAATGTTTTTAGAACAGAAATTAATTTGATTGGACGCCTTTTCCTGGTTTGCCCAGTTACAAAACAGACAAATTTTTCTGTCAAATTCTGCGTAGCAGCAGCAAAAGCGAAACCAACTCAAACAAAACAAAGTTGACATGCATGTAGAAGTGTTAGGAAGAAGAGGGGAGCTCAGGTTCTCCAGTCTGAGCATTTTATAATAACCGAATTCTCATTAACCACAAAGGATGTGGTTAAAATATTTACACGATCTCAAATTTCTTAGAGTAAATAATGCTTTTTCCCTACAAACCCCAAGAATTTTAATGTGGATAAAAGACTAATTCCAAAAAGTAAAAAAAAACAAAACCCCCATTAACCTCCTAGAACCTGGCGTCCACATATGTGGACATCACATTTTGGGTTATTTAGACCAAAATACTCAATTTTGCTCTACATATCCACTTACAAGGACACTATACTGCTTATGTTCTTTCAACATTTTAAACAAATATCCTCATATGTGGCTCTCATTTTTCTTAGAAACAAAAATTAGGTTTTAAAAAAATCTGGTAATTCTTTGTTTTTACATTCATCAGGTCCCAATCAGCCTAAATTTCAAAGAGAAATTAAAAATGCTGCTGTGGAAGAGTTCGGGTCTTAGGAGGTTAAAATAAATTAAACTCTTTAAACCAACGTGCAGTAGTAAAAATCTGTGGAACAGTTGATATAAATCAGTGATTCTACTTTTACTGAGGACAAATTTAACTGTTTCATCTGAAGATAATCTTCAATAATCTGCAGATGACAAATAAACCAAGGAAAACAGCTCTCTTTATTTCTTACATTTATTTTCCATCATACAAAAGAGAAAGTACAGAGTAAACTGGAGCAAACAGGAGGAGAAGGGTTTGTTAGTGATGCTGAGACCGCTGCCACTTCTCTTCATTCAAACCCGCTGCAGAGAAACATGAAGAAAAATGTCAGTCACATCTACAGATTGTAAATAAAGCTTTGTTTGTATCTGATCAACATTTTCATTACAGTGAAGTCAGGTGTTCTGCTTGGTTATGCTATCGACATATCGGTGGTGGTTACTCTCAGAAACAGTTTTTAAACTTGGAGGAAAAATCCCTAACTCTTCCTCGTCTTCTGACCTTTGAACCTACCTGACCATGTGGGCTATGTCCCAGTTGGTTTCAGAAGACAGGGGTCCGAGGATCTCCACGCCCTCTTCGGTGACGATAGCGATCTCGTGCTGAAATGAAACAGAAATAAAATTGTTACTTTCTCCGGATGGCGTCCAGTACACTTGAGTGTGCGCGGCGGTGCGACTTACTCTGTTGTAGGAGCGAGCATCTCTGTAGTACAACACCTTGAGGCACCGCTCCACCAGCTCCCGTGCCTCCTGTTTGGTGATCTCCACCTTGTTCTCCACCACCTCCCTCATCAGAGGCTGCACACAGATTCAACACATCTTTACTGGCACATGTCCAAACTCAGCACAAACACTCCATCACTGGTCTCCACGGTAACGCTCTAATGCCTCAACTGTTAGTCAGCTGTATGACCACACCTTAAAAACCTTTAGACATGATTAATCTTCTAAAGCCAGCAGAGCGTTACAGCTGAAACTCACCTGAGCCAAGTATGCACCAAAGCCTGTAGCCACTGTGGGAGCCTCATAAGCCACGCCCAGTTTATCCACGTAACCTAGGAAACTGGAGAGAAGGAAGGCAGCAACCTGGTGAGAGAAGAGCTACTTCCCATTTCAGGTTCACCTCTAACAGGTAAACATGCTGAAATGCATCCTGGGAGTTATATACTTCTTTCTTTTTTTTAAAAAACCGCCGTATCCATGAGCACCAAAAACATAAAACATTAAAGAAACAAAACTGACCTAGAACTAAAAAAAAGGCGGTAACAAATACGAATGCAGCTTGACTGGTCTGCCCCCAACCACCCCCCCACCCCGAGTCTCACCTCTCCCCGTTGTAGAAGCCGCCGATGACTACGGTATTCCACAGTGGGTTCATGCGGCTGCGGCGGTTGTACATGACGCGGGTGAGCCACGAGTGCACGGCCTTTGGGCTGTAGCTGTGCCCGTCACCTAGCAACTCCTCATCGATACTGACGGAAAACGACACCAGTGAGATGGGAAGGGGGATGTACAAGTGTGTGTATGTGAGTGTGCACACTCACATACGTGTGTGTGTGCGCGCGCTTACACCATCTGCTCGATGACCTGTTTCAGGTGTTGGTAGTCGGCGTAGTCGCCCGAGGCTCCCAGGATGGTGCTGTTGTTCACCTGTGGAGGAAACACCAATATTAAAGTTGCTGAAACAAGCAGTCGGTCAGCTGACCTCTGCTGGTGGTGGCATCACCTTCATGAGGCGGGAGATGTTCCTGAAGCGAGCCAGAGAGCCATACGAGCCCAGCATGTCTGCAGCGATCACCACCCCGCCAGTGAATTTTACACCAAGTACCGACGTTCCTGTAACCATCGGGTTCCTGTGGAAGGAGGACAGGGCACGGTTACTTTAAACAAGTCCAATGGTGGTGTAATTAGCCTGTGCGATGGAACATGTGAAAACCCAGAGGGCAGAGAGCATGTCCTACTGAGAGGACATCTCAGCTGGCCCTGGCATGCCTCGATGTTCCCCCCAGACAAGCTGGGGCCATTGCCCCGTGGCTCGACTTCAACTAAGCAGAAGAAAATACCTAGATGCTTTAATGCCTCGATATTTTAGATGTAGAACTTTTATTGAAGTGGTCGTCATGAATTTTCGAACAGTGTGCATCGCTACTAATGCACGGCACAACACACAAACAACACGCATGTTTCTTCGTTGTCCGGACTATGTGTGTGTATAGATATATATATTCTAATACACATGCATTGTGAACTTATATATTTCACAATGCACGATGAAAGGGGTCACACAGTTAAGCAGCATGATTCTG